GACGGACAGACAGACACACACAGTGGCCGAGTAAAGAAACCTGACACACTTGTTGTATTTTACAGTGACTCAGAAGGGGTCAACACAGTGTTATGTTGCAGAAGGAACTCTCCCTCCACCACCAAAATAAACACACACTCCTATCTCTTTCTCGCTCTATATTGGACCTTATGTACCCTTAAAAATATAAAAGGAAAATCAGAGGTTTCTTTTGTTTTAACTTCAGGAAACGTCTTTTATTTTCTATTGGTTTAACTTCAGAAAACGTCTTTTATTTTCTATTGGTTTAACTTCAAGAAACGTCTTTTATTTTCTATTGTTTTAACTTCAGGAAACGTCTTTTATTTTCTATTGGTTTAACTTCAGAAAACGTCTTTTATTTTCTATTGGTTTAACTTCAGGAAACGTCTTTTATTTTCTTTTGTTTTAACTTCAGGAAACGTCTTTTATTTTCTTTTGTTTTAACTTCAGGAAATATTTTTTTTCATTCGTGGAAACAAATAAAAGATAATTTTTTGTTAATTTTTCTTAATTATTACTGGAAAAATAAAATTCATTAGTATTTTTTATCATTACTTCTAAAATATAAAAGTAAATACGTATTTTTCTACTTTATTCCAAGATATAAAATAATAACCATTTAATAATCCAAGAAAAAAAATAATCAGTACTTATTTTTTTCCTTATTTACTTCCCCCAGAAAAAATAAATAACAATTGTTCCATTTTTGTCCTCCAGGAAAAAGAAAATTCGTGTATTTTTTTCTTCACACTAAAAAAAAAAGTTCCAGGGTTTATATTTTTTCTTAACTCTCAAGTCATATTTTTCACTTCACTTCCCATAATATTTGTTTTTCTTAGTCGGAATAATTAAGTTTTTGACGCAGATTAACTTTCATTAAACATATCAAAAGTTATTATTATTATTATTACTTGTTCATAGTTATTGTTATTATCATTATTATTATTATTAAACAAAAACTCCCTCACCCTATCTACCGTGGCCAAGCGGACCATCCCTCTCTCTCTCTCTCTCCCTTCCTCCCTCTCCCTCTCTCTCTCTCCCTTCCCTCCCTCTCTCCCTCCCTCCTCCTCCATCCCTCGCTGCTGACGACACACTCCCGTCTCTTGTGATAAAATGATGACTGAATGAATGTAAGATACGCCCTGCTGCCCGCCCCACGCACACACCCTCACCAATCCATTATAATATTCCACGGGTTTTAGAGGCGCTGGAAAGGTCAAGCCAAGACGCGCTGGGTTATATTTTTCCAGTGGTATATTATCATGTTAACTGTATCTCTGTCTGTAAGCTGGAGTATGCGGGTATAACATTGTTTTTAGTGGTGTGTGTTTGTGTGTGTTTGTGTGTTGGTGTGGGAGATAGATATATTAATTTTATAAGTTAATGTTAGTGTAAGTTAGTTTATTTCAGGTGTTTTAGTCTTACGGTGCTTTAAGATTATTTGTATTTTATCGTATGTGTAAAAAATATTATCTTATTAAAGTCACTAAAGCTGTTGTTATAATTTTTTTTTTGTATCAAATAAAGTAGTATTTTTTCTGTTGTCTGTAAAATATGATGTAATAAATATTTTACGTACATATATGGATAAAAAAGATTTATTTTATTTATCCAAAAGTAGACGATAAAAATAAAAATCGAATGTTTTATTTATTTTGTTATTTTACTCAATATCTTTAAGTATATTTAAATAATTTTTAAGTATATTTCAATTATTTTTAAGTAATTATAAACATCAACATAATGAAGCCAATTTTATTTTATTTAACATCAAGTTTAATTAGAGTTACTGTACATACCTGGCCACAACAAGCTTCATTAAATGCTTTATAAGTTGGCCGGATATGCAAAAAAAAAAAAACGGCCGGAGAAGCTTTACTCAACCTATCCGGCTTTCTCATCCTAATACTCCTACAGCCCGGCCACACAGCTCAAGGTCCACCTCCAAACACACACACTAGTTAGGTCTTCCTCGAGCTATTTACTTGAGTCACTTGGCAGTTGTTGTCCTCAAGTGTCGTCGTGTGAAGGCCGTTGGCACACACACACACACACACACACACACACACACACACACACACACACACACATCAAATCACATCAGGCTGTATAGTGACGTCATCAGGAGTATGTATGTATATATGTATGTATGTAAGAATGTATGTATGTATGTATGTATATATGTATGTATATATGTATGTATGTATGTATTTATGTATGTATGTATGTATGTATGTATGTGTGTGTGTGTGTATGTATCTATGTATGTATGTATCTATGTATGTATGTATCTATGTATGTATGTATGTATGTATGTATGTGTGTGTGTATGTATCTATGTATGTATGTATGTATGTATGTATGTATGTATGTGTGTGTGTGTATCTATGTATGTATGCATGTATGTGTGTATGTGTATGTATCTATGTATATATGTATGTGTGTGTGTGTATATGTGTGTGTGTATATATGTGTGTGTGTGTGTGTGTGTGTATGTAAGTCACTCCGAGCCACTTGTGTTGACTCAGAGATCATTTATGCAGAAGCAATATCATAAGTGGTTGGCTGAGGTACACGGACAGGTATTGTGTTGGGTAAATAAAAAATATCAAATATTGTGTCTAAAAATATCATAAGTGACTTTACCTGTCTGGATGTTTGTCTGTCGTATACAAAACTTACCTCTCAAGTCATATTAATATTTATGTTATTTTTATTATTATTTAAAGGGGATTGTTTTCTTAGTTCAATGATCGTGATATGGTCAATATTCTAGTGCGTGTGTGTGTGTGTGTGTGTGTGTGTGTGTGTGTGTGTGAAGAAGACAATCTGAACCCGTAATCACAAACGTGTACACAATATCTTTAACGTACACACAATATTCTTTAACGTACACACAACATTAAATTAAATGCCCAAAAAAACATTTCTTCACTCTCCTCACAAGGTCGACGTCAATCACCAGTACACATAAGATTAGTTTATTTATTCATTAAGTTACAAGACATCACAGTAACTCCTGACATCTCTCTTTGAAAACATACGACATCATTTTATATATAGGAGATAAGGGAGAGTATTTTAGTGAACCTTACAGCTATTGAATAAATATATCTATATGTTCTTAGTAATTTATAATGAACTAGAGGTATTCTTCTCAATTTATGGCTAATACTCTTTTCTTATAGAGTGAGTGAATGTATCTCTCGTTCTCCTCAACCTTAACACACGGATATGTAATAGTATGTGTTAACTGTTAATAAATATCAGCAACTCAATCCAGCATCTGATATTATGAACCATAGCCCCTCACTAAACACTTCACTCATACAGGTAACATGAGAAAGAGTGCACTTGGGTGACCGCTGAGTGCACACCGTCAAAGGGTTGGTGTTCACAAGATATGAAATGAACCCGTGTTGTGACGTGAGTGTTTACAAACATATCCACACGTGTTGTAGGTGCAGGTGAGAGAGACTTCCGTGTGTGGTGGGAGGTGAGTCACTAGTGTACCCTGCCTGAGGGGTCTGATTCTACACCTGGTGCTGTTATATAAAACCAATGACACACACACACACAACCATCACGTGCGGCCCTCAACACCTGTACCACACCTGTACTACCACCAACACCTGTACCATCACCAACACCTAACACAACACCAACACCTGTACTACCACCAACACCTGATATAACACCAACACCTGTACCATCACTAATATCTGACACACAACACCTGTAATTTGTTGAAAGTAAGGTGATATTTTTGTCTTGTTTATTATATATTATTAAGTTTGGATATGTGATTGTTTGTGTCCTGTGTGTGTGTTTATTTGTCATGTGTGTGCGAGTGTGTGTGTGTGTGTGTGTGTGTGTGTGTGTGTGTGTGTGTGTGTGTGTGTTTATCTGTAGTTCATTCTCGGAACTCCAATGTGATGTCTCAATTTTCTTGTGTTACTCCACCCTATTTTACCTTTACTCCACCCTACACCACCATATAATCCCATTTACACCACTCTATACCACCCTACTCAACCTTACACCACGTTACACCACCCTATTCCACCTTACACCCACTTTACTCCACTCTAAACATCCATATACTCCTTTTCACTCCACCTTACTCCACCCTAATCCACACAAACCTTAAATAAATAAACACCAACATAAAATTTTCAATAAAACTAATAAAAATTTGTGCAGTATAAAAACGACGGAACTATGTATAAAAACCAACCCAACTATGTATTAAAAAAACACAGTATACATATCAAAAACATCAGTACACGCTTCACTGCATCATCAACTGAGACTAGCGATGGTAAGAGTTTAGAAAATAAAAAAAGTAAAAATTTCTACGTTAAAAAAGTAATAATAGAGTCACATGGTTGTAGTGTGTAATGGAGGGTAATGTTGTGGTGTGTTATCTCAAGGTGAGGTTTTTGTGTTGTGGGATCTTCTTCTTCTTCTTCTTCTTCTTCTTCTTCTTCTTCTTCTTCTTCTTCTTCTTCTTCTTCTTCTTCTTCTTCTTCTTCTTTTCGTCCTGCCTCTCCCTAATATTCGTATCCATTTCTTCCTTTTTCTCCTCCTTCTCTAACCTTTGCCCTCCCTCCTCCTCCTTCCCCTACCTCCTCACTTAACCCCTCCCCCCCCACCCCAGATGAGATACTAACCCGTGTTCTTGAGGTGTCGAGATTATGAGAGGTAAATAACAACAAAAACAACAACAACAATATATAATCCTTCCATTCCATCTTAGTTAATGAAGAACGAGAGAGATAAACACACACACAAAAAGATAATTGATGGAATATGTTATAAACGGAGGGATGAAGCAACTTACCTTTACCTGTGTGTGATTAAAGCAAATGACGACCTGGGAAGCGTACAAAATAAGACTCACCCCCCCCCCACAAAAAAAAGTTACACGTTGTAGTAAAAATAGATAATCTTTAGAGAGAGAGACACACACTGGCCTGAACACCTGAAGTTAGAGTCATGTAGTTCAGCCACTTCCTTCCCCCGGAGTGTAGGCGGAGCGTGGCACTTGGTGAAGAGAGCCAGTGTGGGATGACGACGGAGCCAGCGACCGAGCCACGAGAGGCGACAGTCACACAGGAATGGGTTATCCGCCAGACGTACACTGCGTAGGCCGTTCATACGCTCAAACAACTCCCTCGGCAGCGTAGTGAGGTTGTTGTTGTTGAGAGTTCTGCAGGTGACAGGTGAGAGGTGAGACGACAGGTGAAGGGGGTCATTTCAACACCTGGTAATACATCTATACAATAGTTTTTATTATTTTATTAAGTGATTTATTAACACTGATACAATATGTTAAGTCACTTACTAACACACTTATATAAATATTTACTTAAGACACTTATGACCACACACACACGCACACGCACACACACACACACACACAAAAGACTACTTAATTAACTTTTACAAATATGCAATGAACATCTCAGGAGTCATTCACCTGTTATTAAATGTCTCACACACCTGGGCACACGCCTGACTCATACACCTGGGCACACACCTGACTCACACCTAATCATCAGTGTGTGGTTAACATTCAGGGGTATATTAACATTCTTACCTGGGACGTTACCCTTGTGGTGAGCCTCAAGTTATAACTCAGTTTCTTTGTCTGTCTGTCTGTGTATCTTTTTCTCTCTTTTACTTCATCATTGCTACTCTCTCACCCTTACCTCTCTCTCTCTCTCTCTCTCTCTCTCTCTCTCTCTCTCCTCCACTGCCTCTCACCGCGTCACCAGTAATGGACACATACAGACCCTTAACGTCTCAAGACATTATAATGGCCGGGGTTCCTTTTATATACTAAAATTTTAGCTATCAAAATTCTCCCAGCTTATCATGTACCCTGCCCAGCTTACTGTACCCGCCCAGCTTACTGTACCCCCTGCCCAGCTTACTGTAATTCTCCCAGCTTACTGTAATTCTCCCAGCCTACTGTACCCCACCCAGCTTACTGTACCCGGCCCAGCTTACTGTACCTCCCAGCTTACTGTACCTCCCAGCATACTGTACCTCCCAGCCTACTGCACCCCTGCCCAGCTTACTGCACCGCCCAGCTTACTGTACCTCCCAGCCTACTGTACCCTCCCAGCTTACTGTACCCCGCCCAGCGCTTACTGTACCCCGCCCAGCTTATCAGGCCCTCCCAGCTACTGTGTACCCTCCCAGCATACACTGTACCCTCCAGCCTATACTGTACCCTCCCAGCCTATACCACCCCCTCCCAGCCTACTGTACCCCTCCCAGCCTATACTGCACCCTCCCAGGCCCACTGCACTCCCTCCCAGCCCACTGTACCCTCCCAGCCTACTGTGCCTCTCCCAGCTCTACCTGTACCCTCCCAGCCCACTGTACGCCTCCCAGCCCATACTGTGTGTACCTCCCAGCTTACTGTACTGTACCCTTCCCAGCCTACTGTACCCCTCCCAGCCTATACTGTACCCTTCCCAGCCTACTGTACCCCTCCCAGCCTATACTGTACCCTTCCCAGCCTACTGTACCCCTCCCAGCCTATACTGTACCCTTCCCAGCCTACTGTACCCCTCCCAGCCTACTGTAACCCTCCCAGCCTATACTGTACACCTCACAGCAAGAACACTATATCCCTCCCAGCACACCCTCAACACCCCCCAGCACACACCTCCTAGCACACCCTTAACCCTCCAAGCACACCCTCAACACACCCCTCCTAACACACCCTCCCCTCTCAGCTCACAAAAACCCACTCCCAGGGCAGGCAGGACAATGACCATGGAACAACCTCATTCCCACTACAGGAAACAGGACCATAACGTGTAATCATCCTGTGACTGTACACTTTAATGGCGCCAAGTTAAGCCATTAAGTGGTTTTTTGGTGGGAGGTTAATAATGCCTCTAATTACAATAGGATATACGCACGCCAATTTAAATACCCATAAAATCAGAATTAACTACAATGTCAATGTCACTTGATCGTGTTGGAATGTTTGGGTGGAATTTTTGCTTCTGTTAGTTTTTGATATAGTTGTGGAGCATTATGGTGGCCATTTTTGTATTATGGCGACCATTTTGTATTATGGCGACCATTTTTTATTGTGGCGGCCATTTTGCTTTTGTATTGTGGCGACCTTTTTGTATTGTGGCGGCCATTTTGTAGTGTTTTATGACGGCCATTTTGTAGCGTTTTATGGTAGCCATTTTGTAGTGTTTTATGGCGGCCATTTGTAGTGTTTTATGACGGCCATTTTGTATTGTATTATGGAGGTAGGAAGTCACGGACTGAGGAAAGGACTTACGGACGGAATATAAAGCCATTAAGCCACGGACAGAGATAGGAAGCTCCACATAATAACGAACGGACAGACAGATCAATAGACAGACCTGACAGGATAGACAGACAGACAAATAAACAATCTACTTTACTTGAGGACAAAAACCAAACAACAAACAAACAAACAAGCATTAAAATCACACTCAAACATTTCAGAAAACACACACACACACACACACACACACACACACACACACACACACACACATACAAACAAAACAAACACACACACACACATACAAACAAAACAAACACACACACACACACACATACAAACAAAACAAACACACACACACACATACAAACAAAACAAACGCACACACACAAACAAACACATACAAACAAACAAACACACACATACAAACAAAAACACACACACACACACACACACACACACACACACACACACACACAAAACAAAACAAGCACACACAAACAAACACATACAAACAAAACAAACACACATACAAACAAAACACACACACACACACAAACACACAAGAAAAACATCAGTGTGGAAATCAAACGACTTTTTAAGAACTTTTGGGGGAAAACGAATCTTGTGGGGAGAAACTGGGGAAACTTTTTAGTAAACCTGAAGAAGTTGATCCCAGCGACCGGCTCACACAACTTATGCCTACCAGAGATAAGAGACGAGCCGCACACACACACACACACACACACACACACACACACACACTCTTACAAAGGACCTGCTAACTCCCTAAACTCAAGGCTGATTCAACGCTGACTCAATACTGACTCCATGGTGATTCACTGCTGATTCACTGCTGATCCAATGATGACTCAACGCTGATTCAATGTCGATTCAATGCACACAACGCTGATTCAACGCTGACTGGCTAACTCAATGCTGATTCAGAGGTGATTCAATGCTGATTCAACGCTAACTGAAAGTTGATGACATGCTCAATACACATGAGGGTTATATAAAAAACACCTTCAAGACACACTCAAGATATACTCACGATACACTCAAGACATTCTGAGGACTCGTTCAAGACCCACTCAGCCACTCAAGACATACTCAGGACACGTTCAAGACACACTCAGGACACACTCAAGACTCATTCAAGACACACTCAAGACACACTCAGGACACACGCACGACATACTCAGGACACACTCAGGACACACTCACGACACACTCACGACACGTTCAAGACACACCATAACACGTTCAAACACACCAGCCAACTAGGCACCCAAGACAACCTAGACACACCAGGACACACCACGACATACCAGACACACTTCAGACACACTCAGGCAACTCGACACACTCAGGACACACTCAGGACACGTTCAAGACAGATTTAGGACACACTCAGGACACGGTACTTACAAGACTTGGAGTTCATTGAGGTTCTTAACAGCTGTCTCATCGATGCACGTCAGCTGGTTGTTGTCAAGCTGCCTGTAAGAGAGAGAGGACTGTGGGGAGAAGAGGGGGCAGGGAGAGGGGTGAGTGGGGCAGGGAGAGGGGTGAGGGGGCAGTGAGAGGGGTGAGGGGCAGTGTGAGAGGGGTGAGGGGCAAGGTGAGAGGGTGGAGGGGCAGTGGAGAGGGTGAGGGAAATGCGAGAGGGGTGTGGAGTGGTGAGAGGGGGCAGGAAGAGTGAGAGAGAGAGAGAGAGAGAGAGAGAGAGGAGAGAGGAGGGAGAGAGAGAGAGAGAGAGAGAGAGAGAGAGAGAGAGAGAGAGAGAGAGAGAGAGAGAGAGAGAGAGAGAGAGAGGAGAAGCAGAAAGAGAGGAAAGACTTGGGTGGAAGAGGAAAGAAACAAACAAACATACGATAAGAACAAGAAGAAAAAAATGTAAAATAATAATATATATCGTCATTTGGGAGGAGGGGCAGACGATGATAAAGAGGAATAAGCGAGGCGAAGATGCTTATGGGAGGAAAATTCTGGTCTGTGTGTAAGAAAAGGAACAGGAGGGAGGGAGGGAGGAGGGAGGGGAAGGGTGGGGAGGGAGGGGAGGGAAGGGAGGGAAGGAAGGGGGAGAAAGAGAATGATGAAAGGATGGGGAATAGAGGGACTGAAGGAGGAGGAGAGGAAGGGGGGGGAAGGATGGGAGGGAGGAAGAAAGAAGGCGTGGGAAGGAGAGAGGAGGGAGGGAAGAGGGGAGGGAGGGAAGGAGGGGACAGTAATAAAAGATACAGTGATGGTATAGTGACATAATACAGTGATACAGTGATGATAATAAATGACAGATAGAGTGATAGTGAAATGATACAGTGATGGTGACAAAGATAGTGAGATGGTGACTTATAGGGGGGAGGGAGAGGTGAGGGGAGGGTGAAGGGGAGGGGGAGGGTGAAGGGGAGGAGGAGAGGGAGAGGGGGATGGCACTTACCTGGAATAGCTTGGGGAATTACCTGGATGTTACCTGGGATCATGGGAATAATTACGGTCAGGAGAGAGAGAGAGAGAGAGAGAGAGAGAGAGAGAGAGAGAGAGAGAGAGAGAGAGAGAGATCAACTTCAGCCCCAAACAACATGAAAAACCACTACATTACTATAGGACTCTCGTAAGACTCCCAGAGAGACTCCTTAAGGTAGAACGAAGGATAACCTCAGGTTGTTGATGTTGGGAGCTCCTCTG